GGAGTCCCCGACTTCGTTCCACGAGGCCCCCCAAAGGCTTCAAGAGGACCACCGGGCGCATGCAATTTTATCGCGGGCTCCGCTGTGCCCCAGGCAGAAGTTGGTTCGAATGGCAAGAACAAGTTGTTTTTTTGGCCATTCGAGCCCACTTCCGGTACCGGCCCCTCGGGGCCGTGTCGCGCCCGCGCCCCGCTTGGTTGAGATGTATTCCCATCGCGCCCCCCCTGGCCTTCATCATCCTCGTCCTCCTCGTCCTCGTCTTCGTCGTCGTCCTCCTCCTCCTCCTCCTCCTCCTCCTCCTTCTCCCTCCTCCTCCTCCCCTCCCCCTTCCCCCTACTCATCATCCGCCCCTTCTTCTTCTTCTTCCTCCTCCTCCTCCTCCGCTTCCTCCGCCTCCTCCCCCTCCTCCTCCTCCTCCTCCTCCTCCTCCTCCCTTCCCCCTTCCCCCCACTCTTCACCCTCCTCCTCTTCACTTGCCTGCTCCTTCTCCTCCTCCTCCTCCTCCTCCCCCTCCTCCTCTCCCCTCCTCCTCCTCCTCCTCCCCCTCCTCCTCCTCCTCCTCCTCCTCCTCCCCTCCTCCTCCGCCTCCTCCTCCTCCTCCTCCCCCTCATCCTCTCCCTCCTCCTGTTCGCCCTCTGCCAGTTTATCGGGCGATCCGCTGTGCCCCAGGCAAAAGTGGGCTCGAATGGCATTTTTGTTTTTTTCCCCGACCTGGCGGAGGGGTTCCCGTTTAGTGTCCCCCTGGGGGGGTCGGGGGGGGGACCCCCCGGGACATGGCCCCGGCCACGGGCGGAACGCCGGCGGAAGCCGTCGGAAGACGGCCGCTCACGGCCCGATTTCTGCAGACGCGCTTCCAGGAGGCAAGGACGGCCCCAAGATGGTCCACAAGATGGTTCAAGAAGGCCTCGAGTGGCCGAAAGATCGGCCCAAGACGCCCAATATGGCGCCCCGACGTCCCAAGAAGCTCAAAAGACGCCCCGAGAGGCCCCCAAGAGGCTTTCCAGGAGAGCCCGAAGCATAACACATCTTTAGTTCTCCTGTGGTTTTTGACGTCTTTTGATGTTTTTTTTTTGGTTTCCGCATTTTCGGCTTCCCGCCGCTCCAACACGGCCCCAAAGGTCCCGAATAACGCCCCAAGACAGCCTCAGAAACCCCCAAGGGAGCGCTCACACAGCCCAAGACGTCCTCAAGACGACCCAAGGGGCCTCCAAGACACTTCAGAAGTGTTCCAGGCACGCCCCAAGAGAGCCCCCCGAGCGGATGCAAGGGTCTCCAAAAGCCCCCAGAGACGCCCAATATGGCGTCCCGACGTCCAGGGAGCCCAAAAGACGCCCCGAGACCCCCCCAAGAGGCTTTCCAGGAGAGCCCGAAACGTAAAACATCTTTAGTTTGCCTTCGTTTTTTTACCGACCTTGAGGAGGGGTTCCCGCTTAGTGCCCCCCTGGGGGGGTCTGGGGGGGGACCCCCTGGGACTCCCTCCCGGCCACGGGGGGAACGCCATCGGAAGCCGGCGGAAGCCAGCGGAAGACGGCGGAAGACGGCCCCATTTCGGCAGACACGCTTCTGCGCGGCACGGGCGGCCCCAAGATGGTCGGCACGATGGTCCGAGAGGGCCACGAGTCGCCATCAGGTCGATACAGGCCGTCCAAGATCGCGTCCCGATGGCCCAGGGAGCTTCCAGGACGCTTCGGAAGGCTTCCGAGAGGCCCTCCCAGAGAGCCCCCAGTGTCAACATGTGTTGGTTTTCTTTGGGTTTTTGCAGGTTTTCGGGTTTTCGCGTCTTCGGCTTGCCGACGCACCAACACAGCCCAAGAGGGCCCCCAAACCGCCCAAAGACGGCCTCAGAGGCCTCCAAGAAGGCGCCCAGACAGTCCAAGACGCCTTCATGACGGCCCAAGAGGCCCCCAAGACGGCCTCCGAAGGCTCCAGGAACGGCCCAAAAAACCTCCAGAGTAGAGGCAGCAACCGGCATTTCAAGCTCACCGCCCAAGAAGACCCCCTGGAGGCCCCACACGGCCTTCAGGAGGCCCCAAACATCGCGTCCAGACGGCCCAGGGAGCTCCCAGGGCGCCTCGGGAGGCCTCCGAGAGGCCCTCCAAGAGAGCCCCAAGTCTCAAAATTCATTGGTTTTTGCTGGGTTTTGGAAAGTTTCTCGGATTTCCACGTTTTCGGCTTGCCGACGCTTCAAAACAGCCCAAGAGGACCCAAAAACCGCCCCAAGACGGCCCAAGAGGCCTCCAAGAGAGCGCTCAGACAGTCCAATACGCTCTCAAGACTGCCCCAGACGCTTCCAAGACGGCCTCCGAAGGCTCCAATAACGCCCCCAGAAAGCTTCCAGAAGAAGGGCAGGAACCTACATTTCAAGTTCACCGCACAAAAAGACCCCTCGGAGGCCCCGCGCGGCCTCCAGGAGGCTCCAAACATCGCGTCTAGACGGCCCTCGGCGCTCCTAGGACGCCTCGGGAGGCCTCCGAGAGGCCCTCCCAGAGAGCCCCACGTGTCAACATTTCTTGGTTTTCGCTGGTTTTCTAAATGTCTTTCGGGTTTCGGCGTCCTCGGCTCCCCGACGCTCCGGGACGGCGCATGAGGCCCCAAAGACCGCCCCAAAACGGCCTGAGAGGCCCCCAAGAGAGCGCCCAGACCAGTCCAACACTCTCTCGAGACGGCCCAAGAGGCCTCCAAGACGGCTTCTAAAAACTTCAGAAATGCCTAAGAAAACTTCAGAGAGGCGGCAGGGACCTACACTTTGGGTTCTCTGGCCCAGAAGAGACCCAGGAGGCCCGAACCGGCCCCCAGGAGACCCCCGAGAGGCTTTCAAGAGGCCCCTACGAGCCTGGAACAGGCTTCCGGGAAGCCCCC